GTGCGAAATAACCATACATGCATAGCCTCAATAACATTTGTGATGAAAGCTAGTACGATAGAGCTTTTGAAAGACCGGTAAAACATTAAACTGTAACAGAAACATGAAAAACGACTCTCTTGTTCCCGATCGAACAAGATCTCTTGTAACCAAAAGATAAAACAATGAAATATTGTATACGAAGAAAAATAATGAAGAAATGTCGATTTTGTCACACACACTTCCCTTAGTGTGAGGAAGTTATTGAAAAGCCTCCATCACGTGCACCACGGCGTGCTCAGCACATACGCGCCAGGAGCACGGCCCCGGTAAACCTCTACCAAGGTCCCCGGCTCCGTCACTACCGCCGCCTTGGTGGAGGATGTACCATCCCGGGCTGCCATCTTTTTGTGCTTGACGTCGCGGTCCTGCTCCGATCGATCTTCTCCTTCTTCCCTGCCAGTCGTATACTCCTTGCCTGATCGCCAGTCGAGATGTGAGGAATTGAATGAAACTTTTTATTACGGTCCGGGGGTTTATAAAGCGGTGTCATTGTCATTCCCTCCTCATCTCCTTCTCCATCCATTTCGTAGCTGCTACTCCAAGATAGCAGTCTACCTAGACAATCGTACACCCCTTACAACCAACTTAATTACATCGCGACTTGCTTAATTTTATTCTACTGGAACCAACTTACTAGCAAGGACTTTCATATTGTACTTTTAATATGGGCCACCACAAGTCTTGAGATGGTGATAGCGCAATTTTGAGCGATTGAAGTGCTGAACTTTCGTCGCAGAGCTAGATACTGAGAAGTTGATTTTTTATTTGATTTCTCCTTTGTAGTTATTGCGCTCTACGGTTAATGGTCGACCGCTGGGCCCTTTAATAAGAAAAAAGTTTACGGTTTCGCTGAAAGCTTCCTAGTCAGATGTTTCAACTATTTTCCTGCTGAAGTATATGGACATCCATATTTCATAATGTCGGTCAAAAAGGTGACTGACATCAAGCTCGATATCGAGAAGTCTGTGAAACGCGAAGGCACGTTTGATATTGTAAGGAAACAAGGGTTCGCCATTGCCAACTCTGATGGCTTTCTGGAGTCGTTACAGGTGTGTTTTATTTTGACTACACTACTTTTTCATGATATTCCGTCATTTCATTAGCGAAGCATATCTGCATGCGCGGGCCCAGTGCGAAGTTTTGCCCAGTTTACGTTCTTACCCCCGTCGATACGTTCGCAAATAATTTACTGCTTGTGAAACGACTGAGAGGGCTCCGACGCTGGGTTATTTTGTATGAATTCTCCAACATTATTTAACAACTGCTGGCTCTCTATTTCGAATCTCTCACCCCCCAACTACCCACTTTCAGACCCAATTTCAACTTCAGTCCTTCACTCCCTCATGCAATGTTACTTAGGCTGTCCGGCCCACCGTCCAACTAATGAATTTGCGGAAAATTCTCCGTAGAGTTTTCACATTGCTCAGATTAATTATTTCAAATTGTCGAACTCTATTCTCACATGGCGCATCTATTTCGTGCAATGGTTATAAATTGAAATAAAAACTTCGGAATTTACAATTTTTGTCAGTGGGAAACATTTGCTTCACTAAAGTTTGAGATTCTGACGGTGATAGAACATCATTTCGAACTCTGTCGAATGTAATAGTTAAATTGTAATTGGAGGAGCAGAGGTCGCGTGGATATAGTGGTTAAGCGAGCGTTTCGTATTTTGTGTGTTTTCCACGATAAATGGTGACGGTTTCCTCCTGCTTGAAATTAGAGGGATGTCGTGGCATTATGACCAAAAGGGGTTGTCATTTTCACACAACAGAAGTATGAGCGAGAGCTCATACCTTGGGAGTTCGATTGTTGAGCTTTTTTCTCTTTTCTCAATTCTTCGGTGAGTCTAAATTGTTGGGAAATTTATCTGCTTGCTATTCTTCCAAAGTAGTTCGTGTATTTCCCACCACCTTTCAGGATGATTTCTCAGGCTTTTAATGTAAAACAGTCTTCTTAAAGGCCACACAGGGATTTTTCAAACAGTGGACAATTGTGGTAATATCTACTGAATAGTTTTCCTTTTATCCCATTCTTCATTTATATTTCGAGTTGTTTCTGCTCCACCTCGACCACGCATCATTCGTAGGAGTAGACCAGTCGGAATTGCTGTTTCGATGTCTACATTTCTATGCTTACGATTCGCTGATACTTTAAATAATGTTGCATACCCTCTTACAATCCAGATATCAGATATGCGTTAAATAGGATTTTAAATATACACAACACCATCATGTTCAAGTGTACAAACACCACCAACACTATTTGAAAGCTCCGTCACCATTCGCAAGTTATCGAAATTTGCGCCAATCTTCGAGCGATAATATAGAAGAGTGCTTCCCGACATATGCGAAAGTATTCCTTAAGTATTTGAAGTGAAAAAGAAGACCGTCTGTCACATAGCCCACCATTACTTTCCTATTTAATTATATCTCATAGTTTTTCTCTGCCTTCGAATACATTTTTTTCAGTTTGCCTGATAAAAAAGTGTGGGACCATTTTTCGGAGTCTTCGACTAAATTTCTTTGGCATCAAGGATCAAGTGTTTTTAATGATTGGTATTTAGAAAAAGGTAGCCGTCGATATTCGTAACATGGTTCGTTGTAATCCAGAACGGTTGTCGAAGGAGGATTTCAGGCGTATGATTAGGCATCATCTTCGTACTAAGTAAGATTTCTTCGATTTGCACCATTTATATTACTAATCATAATTTTTCTCATAGATATATGCCGGAAATCACCGAGAAAGTTAATTCTTCCGTGGATCGTGAATGGCTGAAATCACAACTTGCTGACAATGTCAAAGAAAAGGTCAGTTTCCCATCATTACCATTATACGATAAGGGTAATGAATACATTAATGAGGGTTTACATTGGTTGATTCAGCTAGACATTTTTCTTGTTGACTGACTCGATGCAGACGAATATCACATCCAAGCAAGCCGCGCAAGCTCCGCCGCCAGACAAAGGACGCAGCATTTTTTCCACCGTAGGAAACTAGTTTTCAACGAATCCATCCCTCCTGCACCCCTCGTCCGCCTGCTCCCTTGGAAGCGAAAGCTCAGAAAACTGCAGTCAGAAAAAAAGCCACTCTCTCTTTGTCAGAACAATTTTGGAAACATGCACAACATTTTGATTGTTTATTTTCCAAATGCGCAGTTGCATGTTTTTTCGCTTAAAAATTGTTTTTTTAATCGATCGATTGAAATCATCCTGGTATACTCGCACGTTGACACGATTCATCGAGATGATCGATATGTTATTCATTACGTTATGACATCAACAACACCAGTATTAATAGCAACTTGGCATACAAGGGTTAGGTGGCGGTGCGCACGGTGCGCGGCAATTCCTAGCTAGGCTGGCTTCCCCTTGTCCTATCCTAGTTGGATGCTGTTGATAGCTGCTTACGGGACCATATGCGATTGCGTACCAACAGCACAACCGAGTAGTTAGCCTATCCACCACATATATAATAGAACGCATGTAGACCGTCCCCAATAGCCCCTTACTACATATACGATGCATAAAAAGAAAGTTGGGCAAGGGTACAGGATAACAGGGTGGGTGTAAGGGGATATGTCAGTATCAGTACGCGACTGTTAGTAGTTAAAGGGAATTGGTAATATTGTATCACTGAAATGCATCTTCTATGTTAGATGCCTGTTATTGGTGTAGAAGTAGTATCAGATCGTATTTTCAGGTTGAAAAGGCGCTCATGGTAGAATCTGTGATGGAAGGGAAAGTGCCTATAAATTCCTTTGATTTCGGTCCGTTTGCTAGCTCAGAAGATTCTGGTCGTGACTCAAGTAGTGGCATGACTGAAAGCGGAAACTCATGCTCGGATATGTCCGTTTCGGATGTGGAGTCCGAGATGTCATTTGTCGATGTGATGAATTAATATCTGATCTCATTTTTCGCCCCCCGTCAATAATACAGTCTATTTATTCCCTGACGGTAACTATGCGTGTATTAAGGGTTCGTAGTGTTTTTGTAAGACTCTCCGATTCAGTGTTAGGTTGTTCTTGAACCTCAAGTCACCTTTTTTGTGTACATTTCAATAGATATATATGACGATCTAACCTGGTGTGACCAGCACTTATGGGTGTCTGGATCGAAAGCTTCGCGTCTTGATCCATTTTCATTCACTACGCAATAACTCACAATCAGTGAGATTGGGACTAAATCACCGTATCCCGAGGATATATTTTTGCACCAGCCCCTCGAATTCGCAGGACTCCAAATGAGAATTATCAGCTGTAGAAGCGTTTCCTTCCAGGTCTTTTCCTTGCCTTTTATCCAGAATATTGTATGATTTGAAAAACTTCCACACAACTAATGCTGACATTGTACATTCTGTATCTTACCTTCTTTACTTGTTTCGTTCAAATTCTTTTGAAATGAATGAAGAAATATCATGTCGAAGAGCTCCTGTTCCTTTTTGCTTCGCTGCGCAGTACAACAGAAACAATGACTGCAGTGTCACAGAATAGTATGATTCATACCTTAATTAGATATCGAAGAGTAGTGGCCTAATGACGAATTCCGATGGCTGAAATCTCTTCTCGGTCAAACTGTGTTTAAGCACTGTTTGAACCCATAATCTACGAACACTTACGTACATAAATTATATAGTTTTCCATTGATGCTGTTGAAAACAGAAAGATCAGTACGATGGATTACTTTTTTCCAAAAAAGTGAAAACGCAAATCCCCATCACTAATGTAGGCTCCAAAGCGGAGACATGGAGTGGTGGCCCACTGACGGGGCTGTAGTGGTGCCTTCGAAGTTTCTGCAACTCGAGATACCTAGCTTTTGCCTTAGCCTGAGAAATTGAGGAGCACCAGGG